CTACAAAACACAAACTTTCACTGAGATCATCCAGGGATCATTTACGATATTTGATAATACCTTGTCACTTTTTATTCCTCGTATGTTCATTTCTTTGTCATTGTCATGTATGTTTCCTTGTGTCAATTTCATAAATGTCTTCCTAATGTTTGCGTACAGTCTTTTTCACGAGTTTAATGACTAATCATGGGGATTAGTTGTAACAAAAAGCGAATTATATTTATCAAACAAGAAATATAAGATACTTGAAAACCTTCTGATCAAACACTTTCAAGAGTCGCTACAGAAAATTTAACAACTAAATTAAGAATTTTAAAAACTCTTCGAGAATAGATCAAAATACGGTTTTAAACAAAAAACAAGTGCCTATACAATTTACCAAACTCTAAATCAACCCAAGTCGAGACAAATGCAAAAATGTAGAAAATAAATTTGAAAGGTACTTTTAAACATGTTATCAACATTGATATTCTTCAAAGGACAAACGGAATTAAGTTTATGTTCGTCAAGGTAACGTGCGTATGACGAATCATTTGCAAGCAATGGTAGTATGCCCAAGCAATTCATGTAAATGCCTTCGATATAATATACGGTAGGAAATTGTCTATCAACTTATTTCTCTGACGTCAATTGTTTTGTTTTTACTGTGGTTAATAAATAAGTCTTCACCATCGTTGTTCCAAATTATAAGAAAGATAACTTAAGTTAACATTATCGGCGACTCAAACACAAAAATAAATCAAAGAACTGACGTACTGTTAACTCGGATGAACCCAAGATCTGGCTGGTGAATAAATCCGCATACAGAGTTCCATCTCCCTGTAGACTTTTTAAAGAAACTTGCATTTACTTTCTTACATCGAGTGCTTATCAAGCATTTCAAACATTTCAGCCACTTTTAAGACGATAACATATTTTACTTTTAATAAATTGGCTATGTTCTTTGGGCACAAAGGGTCGAAAGGGCAACTGAAAAATAGTTCATTGATTTTATACAATATATCTATGATAGCAATTGTTTTATTGGTCTTAATGAATTGTTTACACGGAAATTACATCCACTTTATTTTAACTTTGGTGGATAGTTGTCTCATTGGCAATCCTACCACATCTCCTTATTATTATACAGAAGCCCATTTTGGTTCAAATTACATCCACTTCATTTAACTTTGGTGGATAGTTGTCTCATTGGCAATCCTACCACATCTCCTTATTTTTATACAGAAGCCCATTTTGGTTCAAATTACATCCACTTCATTTAACTTTGGTGGATAGTTGTCTCATTGGCAATCCTACCACATCTCCTTATTTTTATCCAAAAGCCCATTTTGGTTCGCTAAGCTTAATCAGTGGTGGATCCTGAAACTATTAGAAAAGGTGAGTGGTAATATGTAAATAGGGGCGGAAGAAGAAACCAAACATTATATTATATTGTTTTAAGGATATGAATAAGGATATATTCAATAAAAGTCAGTGGATCATCAACCTAACACAAGAGATTAACATGCCTATACATCCATTGACTTTTTGCGATTTTGAAAATTAAAAGTCTATCGGAAACACACAATGATTTACTTGAATTCAGAAATTGGAATAAAGTGCCTTCTTAAATTCATGGCATCATTACTACAGTCTTCCAGCTTTATTACACTATATTGATGAGGACGAACGATGGTAAAAATCATTGCAAGGACATTTGAGCAGAAATGGTCACATGTATTGTATATTCTACAATAAAATGCACTATCCAATCTATAGTGCTGTACCACAAGTAGTTCCTGTAAACAAAATAGTATTAGTAGTCTAACACTTCTAAGATCTAAACAGAATATATTTCTAAATATCTGACATATAAACACTTGTTAAAATCTAAACAGTTGTTGAAATCAAAACATGTTTAGATGCTAAACGTGTTTCAAAACGTACACAGAAAAAGTGTTTATATTTGTGTTTAGGATCTAAACACTGTTTTTACAGTGAAGGAGCCGGAGGCTAGGGATAAAAACTTACAAAGGCGTGTCGCTGGTATTGGTCACTTTTTTTTAATGTCGAATATATCATTGGGGTGCTGATGAAATGTAGAAATGTATATGTCAATGGGTCATACATGTTCATTTTCTGTTAAGATGTCTTGAAACTTTGTACATAGCGATATTTTTATCTTATAATATGAATGATTCCACGAGGTTTTATATAAATAAAATATCACACATGTGTGTCTGATAGCTATGAAATTTATAAAAGGGTTACGATTTTCCTATGAAATCTCGGATGATAGGTATGGATAGGGATTTTCGCAAACTGAAATCAATATATGAATGGGGATTGTTTATACCCCAACTGGACGTCTGTACCAAAGTTTGTATTTTAAGACCCCCACTCCCGTGATACATTAAATCTGTGAAATTTTATTTTTAGATCCCAAACTCCCCCTTTTCATCTAGATCAGCCTGAGTAAAACATGATTTAACCTGGGACATATGATATATATATAATACTATTCCTAGTTCTGACCTAGGGACGATTTACCCTATATCCCTTCTACGTAGGACAGCAAAAGACGTTAAGGTAGATTGGGTGTCTTTTTCTGAACATCTGTTCGGGGCATGTTGCAAAAATACTCATTTGATTTAAAAAGATATTTATATATTCAATATACAACAGAAACATTTCAAACTTGAATTTTTAAGATTAAACAATCAAAAGATTAAGTGTCGTTAAGTGTATTTGAATTTTTGAGAAAAAAATTCCTTTTAAAATCAAGGGCAGATAATTATACTGAATTTGATGGGACGATTTGTGTTTTTTTGAGTTTTCAAGAAAACAAGGATTTGTATAGTTAGACTATACAAATCCTTGAAGAAAATAAAGTCCGTGACCCCCTTTTTTATTTGGTATTTCGGAAGTATTTATGAAAAGCAATTCTCTCATGGAATTTTAACAACTCTATCGTTTAATGTTTCCTTATTAAGGAAAAATTAAGTTTCCACTATTCAACCATAGATATAATTATTAAATAGCCATAGATATGGCTATTATATCTATGATTCAACCCATATAAAATAATTGTGATTTCGATAAATTTTTTTTTTTTAATCATGGTATTTTAACGAAAAAACAAGGTCCGTGACCCCGTTTTTATATTGAAATTTGAAAGTACATCGACCCAGAAGTCTTTTACAGAAGTTAAAGAAAAGTCGTCGAACATTTAGACACCCCAGCTACCTTAAAACAACGGCCGGGTACAGGTAATAAATTGATAAAACCGTTCTCTTCATCTGTCAACGAACACATTTAAATAATGAGTGCTTACTGTACTTTTAATATTTATGCATTATGCATAAGTATAACATAACTTAACTATACTTCATGACATTTATATGGTAAAGGCTTAGGTCAAAAGTGTTTCACCTTTCAAAAAATCACCTATTATTTCAGATAAAAACACATTCATATATATATGTATGCTTCATGTCATCAGGTAATAATTTGATTTCATTCAGTATGTAGCTCTTGTGCATGTGTTTTGTACATACCTGCCAACTGTCACTATTTGCGGGGGATTTCCACCCTGATAGCTCCCAAATGAAAATTTTGAAAGAGCAATTTTGTCCACAATTTAGAACAAAACAATCAATTTTACCATGTTTATAGGATTGTAAAAGTATGAAGAAGCAAAAAAAAACACAACATTAAAATACATTTGTTTGCACCTGTCCTAAGTCAGGAATCTGATGTTCAGTAGTTGTCGTTTGTTGATGTGGTTCATAAGTGTTTCTCGTTTTTTATATAGATAAGACCGTTGGTTTTCCCGTTTGAATGGTTTTACACTAATAATTTTTTGGGGCCCTTTATAGCTTACTGTTCGGTGAGAGCCAAGGCTCCGTGTTGAAGACCGTACTCTGACCTATAATGGTTTACTTTTATAAATTTTGACTTGGTTGGAGAGTTGTCTCATTGGCACTCATACCACATCTTCTTATATCTATATATGGAGGCCCCCTTGAAGGTATTGTAGGACTATGAGAGCCATCTTGCACATAAAACCCCCATGGGCATTTTGAAATGTTGGCAGGTATGTTTGTATGCAGCTCATGATGCTTGCTTTGTTTTAAACGTGTTTGTTTTGAGTGTTTTGTTTGTAATAAGAAGACATAAAAGCTCAATAGAGCTTTTGCTTTATGTATACAAATAACCGTCTATGAATTAAGGATTTGAATTTTGAACTTAAATTGAACATCAGCAGTTCAGTTCAGTTTCTTGTATGTTCATCCATTAATTGTGGAGCACTACCCATAGGGTAAAAATAACTATAATTGTAGCAACTATATACACCTTAAAACATAAAGGAACATATAAAACTATATACAGATAAAGGAATAAGGGCAATATTATTATTAATTCAAAGGATAGTCATTCAGTTTTAAAACATAAAATTAATTAATCATAATAGTTATATTATAAAAAAAAAAACATGTGCTGAGGTGTAAGAAGAAGCTTAGTAAGAACTGGATTTATCAACAACAGAGACATATATATGTCAATAAATACATAAATATAAATATAACGATTTCAAGTAGCTTTTTAGAAAAGAAATTATAATATTATCTGAAATAATTTTCCCATTGCTTTTTTGATTAGCTATCGAGGTTATTCATCCCTGACTTCATGTTGTAGAATAATAATTGACGAGAGTCTCATTCCGGACCGCGTTTTTTAACGGGATTTCACGGAGTTGCCAATCTCTGTGTATATATGTCTCTGTTTACAAATAAAATTTAAAAATTTTAAAAAGTTTAAATTAATTTTAAATTTTAATTCTATTGGTTAGTTAAAGGTGCTATTCTTACATTAGAATTTAAAATAAAAAGATTATTTTGATAAGGTGTTATGTAAATGGGTAAGGGTTTTGAACAATTCCAATGTATATACATAAATATACATCAGCTCTCAGTACAAGCTTTTTTAAAAGCTAAACTTGTTGCTGATGGAAAAAGTAGAGTTGTCTCTCTTGCAGTAAATCTTTTATTAGGAAGGTTTTGCCGGCTTATGTGAGAGAGAAAAGCAAGATTGTTTGTCAACCTTACTAAAAGATACTAAAATGGCATTGAACAAACTCGCTATAGATGCACTGGATCTCAAAGATAAACGTGTTTTGATGCGGTGAGTGCTCAGAAAAATATGCTTTGTTGCACAGATCAACACAACGGGAAATGACCTGTCCTTGACATTTGTCAAAGTGAAAGTCGAAGAATAAATTTTCCGCGAACGTTTCCAATCTATACGGGAAAACACTAATATAATGTGTAAACAATTATGAGTCTTATCTGAGTCAAACCGCCATATAAGCTCAATTGGCTTGCTTTGATTTGATAATTTGCCTTTGTAAGCCAACTCGTTTTTAAAATTTACTGGAGATAACATGAGGCAGGTGCCTCAATCCTCAATCTCAAGGCCTGTTGGCACAAATTGTCTCAAATGTGCAGATTTACTCCTTCGTGTGTTAGGATCTCCTGTAGTTGGTGATCGCAATACTGGTATACCAGTATTGTTCACAATACTGGTATAAAAATTTTGTACCAGTATTGTAACTTTTTTTTTAAATAACAGCAATACTGGTACATTACTGATCTACCAGTATTGTAGTTGTATTGTTCACTATACTTTAAGGTGTATAATGAAATATGAATTTTAAGCAAAATTAGATATATTGAAGATCAAAGGGAGATTAAATGAACTCAAAAAGATTATAGAGGATAATTGTGAAATCAATTAATTTTATAACAACCAGTTAAAAATAATTACTATACTTGTACAAATAAACAAAAGATTATTGTAATCAACTCATCTTATTCAAACAATTGTTAATTATATAAATAATTCATATTTCTATATTTTATTTAATTCAATTTAGATAAAATAAAATAAAAGCTTTATTATCTGAGTTATTATTTAGTAAATTCAAGCAAATTATTACATTATAACACTGTAAATTCAGCATTTACATGTATGCCATCGTATATTTTTTACAGATATTTTAATACATGTATTCTAAGATTCTTAGCATTTGTTTGTCTTTATTTTCTTATCAATCCTTCACAACAAACATGATAAAAGATATCAATATCCATTAAACATAAAATATGCTTAATAGGGGAACCTGATTATAATCAAATTAACTAGTTTGTCTACATGAATGTTAAGGGTAGTTAAAGCAGTTGATTCAGAACCATGGGCAATAAAATTTGTAGCAGATATATCTACTGGTACAAATACTCAAATACTAATACTAGACAAGCACTCCTACAGTAAGAGAGCCGTACAGGTGCTATCTAAACAAGCTTGTAATCTAGTAAGCGTAAGAGAAAGTCCAAAGAGTGAATACATAAATATCAATATAGGAAGTGGGGGTTGCAGAAATGCCATCTGAAGAAGAAATAAACAATACCAATGCTGATGATACAGAAGCTATAACAGCATTAATGTCAATATAAAATTCACTTAAATATACTATTGAGACTTGGAAATAGAGAGCTGGAAGAAAACATAGAAGAAAGTAAAGAGTTTGTTAAAATGCTGAGACAGTACGGTTCCCTTAAGAAAAAAACATCAGAAGATTTAAAACTTTCTTTGATTACAATCACAGTCAGTCAGGGGTACTACTTGTACACGTAATTTTTATTTACTTGAAGAAGTAATTATAATATACTTATATAAGTAAATTTGTAGGATACTTATACAAGTGTATTTTATTTACTTGTATAAGTAAATTATTTTTTGGCCTAGTTATGTCCCTTAGACATTCAGATTTTTTTACTTATACAAGTAAAAAAGTCATCCTATCTTCTTTTCTTGAATTCTTAGAACTTCTTTGCTCTAACAGAATTTTGAATTGTCTGTCCTTTGCAGATGTCTTTACTATTCATTTAAGTGTAATTTCATGGACAATGAAAATCTCATTTGTCTGTTATCTTTAGAACACTGCTCATTTACAAGCCCCCAAGGAGCAATTTTTGAAGGCCTTGCCCAAATACTTAAGATCTTTGCTCAATCAGTTTCTTTGTTGAATTAATGAGATAAAACATTGAACTATTATCAAAAATTATGAGCTAACCTGAGAAAAATTGTTAAAGGCATGATTTTACATCTCAAAACTTGAGAATTTTTGTGGGATTGTAAAAAAAATTTACTTATACAAGTAAATTTTTTAGAAAATTAAGGGGAGATTATTCAAACAATATAATTAACTTGTATAAGTATATTTTATTTACTTCTTCAAGTAAATAAAGATTACTTGTACAAGTAGTACCCCTGACTGACAGTGTACCATCAATGGCATCGTCAGTTAAACATACAATCATTCCATATAAAATTGTCATGTCATATGTTAATATCATTATGCATATTAATGTGACACATTTAATAAAAGATTAATTACTTATATGTATTGTTTATTTAAAAAAAACACAATACTGGTACAATACTGGAATACAATACTGGTACAAAATTTTTATACCAGTATTGTGCACAATACTAGTATACCAGTATTGCGATCACCAACTACAGGAGATCCGTGTGTTATGCTCAACGTATTTTGCTCTCAGTGTTGCCGGTGAAAGGGACAAAGTCTGTATACAATTATGGTATAAATTTTTTTTTAAATTCAAGCATATTTATTTCAACTTCAGAATCTTTGAAAAAGAAACGGATATATGGATTTGTTTCCAATGTTGGTCCTGTTGTTAGGGATTTTATTTATAGTGTCATTTTCAATGTAAACAAAGAAACTCTATCATCAGGTAACTTTTTTTTTTCATATCAAAGAATTATTAAAATAAAATTGTTATAATTTATATTTTTAAACGACGAAGATACGTACATGTACCAAGTCGACTTATTATTCTTATCAGATACTAAAATCTGACTGATTGATCAGATGAGTTTCCCTAAAGAATGCAAACATTTTGTTTGCTCAAAAATCGTATGTTGAATAAGCTTCAGACTCATTTATAAATGTAAAGAATTTATTTTGATTGTTTAATAGGCAGTATTCTTTCGGTAATCAAAAACAACAAATTTGCGGGGAAACAATATGGAGCTCCTTCCTATATTTTACTCAGCGTCACATAACCAGAAGGAATAAAGAGATTTCTGCACAATTGTAGTAAACTGAAAAAGTTAGAAAAAAAAGATAGATTTTCAGTAGATTGATTTTTTTTCCCCCTTTTTATTGATTTTCTTCATGTTCTTACTGTAATTGGGGATTTGGTCTCCATATACAGGTAGTCTATTCAGTTGAGTATGAGGAGATCTTTGGCTCAATCCGTTAAAGCGCTGCATTTACATCTTGAGATTGAGGGTGCAATGAGATGCATTTAATGATGGTACATTCAAGTTGGGTTGTCACTTACTCTCAAAACACAGCTTTCAGTTGTAAAGTGTAAAATTGAAATAAAATGTTGTGTACCTATTGGCATTATCATATACTAAAGTTTTGGTGCAAATGATAATAGGTAGTTTAAAATCGAACGTATTATTTGCGGAAAATGATGAGTTGTTACAGTAACACAACAGGACGTATTTTTGGCGCAAATGGATTTCTCCCTCAACATGCTCAATAATCATGTAAACAAGCACATAGATGTATATAAAGATGGGGGGGAAAAGCACATAAATATCAAAGCACATGTCACAATCCCAAATAGATTAAGCACACATACATTTAAAATTTACAGCATGAATAGTCACATTTCTCAAAGTTAACATTTTTTAAGTAACACTCTATTTCGGTGATTTTAAAAACAATTATAGATGCAACTTTTTTTAATTTTATTATTTGTTTTAGTTATTATACATGTTATACCATTTTTCTTGTTCTATTATTTTTCAATTTGATTTTTATTGAAAAAAGTGATATTTTTCCTTTCATTTACCTTTTTCAAAATTATAATTAAATTTGATCTAAAACAACACCCATTCACTTAAACAACATCTATTCAATTTGATAAAATGTAGGCATTCCAGTAAGACACCTTTTGTTTTGTTTTTTTCCTTTTCCGATAATAAAACTGACACTCCAGTAGAATATGACAATCCTCAGGGCCCTCCTAATAACCATTTTAATGCCTCTGGGAAATATTGGCTAATGATCGCTTACACTTTTTACATGTGTTTTCACACCTGACAAGCTCAGGACTTGTATCATAAAGAAATTAAAATTCCATGACAACTTTCTTCATTAATTGCTTTTCAGCAATGACAAATATCAATTCTGATTTATAAAATTGATAACTTGATTTATTTAAAATAGAAACAGGTAATTTTTCACCAGTCAGACGTACTTTATTTACTTTGCAATAGGCACGGGTGAAATTGTCTTCACGGTCACCAGAATCGACACTTAATTGTAAAATGCAAAGTGATTTCTTGCTATTATCTGTTATATTCAAACACTTTTAAAGGTAATAAAGTTAAAAATCTGGTGATTTCCTGTCAATTTGATAAACAGAACGTATCTAGGAACTGAATCAGGATTCACTTGTGCTAACTTCTTTAGTATTCATGTGAAACTCAGTTTGTATTTCGTCATATAAGAGTTGGCGATTCCTGAAAAATATTCTGTTTTGAGTCATTGAAATCATTTCAATTTTAAACTGTTGTATTTCATAAATTGTTCTTGAATGATTTTAGAAAAAACGGTAAGAAAATTTATGAAGTAAATGCGATGAAACAGTCAATACAAGTTCATTGATGCCATGAATCTTGTGTGAAAAATTTCAACAGATTGAAAAAGAACCCCAACCTTTAAGTCATCTCAAAATGACAGAAATTGTGTGAAAAAATTTCTGGATCCTTGGTCGAAATTCGTTTTTTTCTCTGAATAATAATAAAGTAGTTTACCAGACACCATGGACACATTCATTGTCTGCTTTAATCATACACCAGACAGACAAAAATGAATTTTGTGGGTTATATTGGGGAAAATACTATGTTGTGAAAACTGAATTGCGCATTTTGTATGGATTATACAGGAAAAACATCAATATGTGGATAGAATGTAAACTAAACAGACAGTTTTAAGCCATACATTAGGATGATGTGCCTATATTTAATTTGAGTCAACTACAACCTAGAAATGTAAAAAAAGCAGAGCATTAATTTAACTCTTTATTATTTTTTTTACAGAGTTGATTTTAATGTACCATTGAAAGAAGGAAAGATTACAAACACTCAGAGGTAAGAGTATAAACTAAAAAATACATTAAAAAATATCAAAATTAGCATTGACAGATGGCCACTACAGTACACCAGGAACTTTCTATACTAATGGGACTAGTCTCTATTGATTTTAATTAAATAACTACGCCTCCCGTGTAAAGCTACCACCCAACAATTAATTTAGTTTCGTATCTCTGATATACGAAGCTAGTAGTTATTTGCGTATTTCAAAGTACATTGTAATTTAATATTTTTTAATATAAAATCTGATTAATAGCCATTTACCATGACAAAAAATATAAAATTTTAAAAGAATGTTAAATTATTAAACCGAGACATATCGTTTTGAAGAACACTCCAGTCGTGCAAAAGGGGTTGCATATTGAACAAGATGGCGGCCGCTAGAAATTTACTAACAAAATACCTCAAAGTTTAAAGGTGTATATTTTAAAAACTATCAGAGAAATCTTTTCAAAAACAGCATTTTGCAATGACAAAATGTATAAAATTTCATAAAAATGTTACTTCATTAAACTTTAACATATAGTTATGAAGAACACTTCGTAAACATGAAATGATTTGCTATGAAGTCAAGAGACATCAGCGACGGCACAGTTCTGTCTGCAAATTTGTATAGACATTGTTATAAATGACCAGTCCGGTTAGTATAGACTGTCCCTGAGTACACACAAGATGCTTTGACTTTTGGTGGAGATTTTTCAAAGTGAATGGTGGTGTATATGTATTAGTGTATATTTATTTCTTTTTGTGGATACCAATTTTCGTGGATTGAGGAAAGCTTGATTAATTTATTTTTATGGGTACCAGTTTTCCTGGAGTAAGGAATAATTGTTTTTTACTGGATTCTTGATTATTGCAGTTTTCTTAAATTCTGTATACACACTTATAGGAAATTTATATTTTGTTGAATACTAAAATTTGTGGTTCACATTTACTCTAAAAAAAAATTATAAATGAATACACAAAAACAATAATGAATCAATGGTTGTACGATTTCCAAAAAAAATTGAAGGTCTGATGTTATATATTATTAAGCCATTTAATTTACAATAAAACATATTTAAGGTGGTACATAACACTACAGGGAGATAACTCTGTAAAAATCAGCTGAACGTTTTAATCACATTCTATTGTTAAGGAAATACTAAGCTTCTCAATGATCAAAATTAGTGTTTGTCAAACTGCTATATATCCAATGAAATTTTTCCGATAAAGTGTGTGGTTCAAGTTTTTTGAAATTTTTGTATTTTTGTCAAAGGGTCAAAGTAAATATTTTGTCAAAATTTTATGAAAATTAAACGAGCCAAATTAATTTTATTCAAGGTGTTTGATACCACCTTAAAACAAAAACATAGTTTTTGAGTTAAAAGTTACCTCTACTGACAAATTGTTGATGTTGATTGCATCAGTGTAAAATTAAAACATTTGTACCCTTATAAAACTTTCAATCTATCAAAATTGTAATACCGCTGACAATTGTCCAATTAAAATTTGTGTTATTTTTACTTGTAGAATCACAGCGGCCTTACCAACTATAAAATATGCCCTTGATAATGGTGCTAAGTCTGTTGTATTGATGAGCCATCTAGGGCGACCTGATGGCAGAAAACAAGATAAATATTCCATGTTACCTGTCAAAGGAGAACTAGACAAACTCCTTGGGAAGTAAGTATGATATAAATTTGGTTGTTGGGTTGCTGTCTGATGGATAAAGTTGTAAGTATGAGATGAATCTGGATGTTGAGTTGCTGCTGGACGAATATCATTATTTTTTTGTATGCTCCAATGAACAAATTATGTCTTTAAGAGAAAGGTATATACCTACATATTACACAAAAAATTGAAATTTACTGGTCTATTATCACACTGTAACGTGCCAGTGCTAACAAAAGTGTGCATGTTTCTAAGACATATTGAAAAAATATTTTCATAATTCATAGCCATGTTACAATAACTTCATATCCACGTTGCAATTAAGAATTTTGCAAACAAATCAACCAAATATGGTATATTTCAGTTTTATTGTATGATATCACTTATTTATTTATTGTATGTAATGCTTGTAAATGTATAAGTATATATGTAATTGTTAATGTATAATTGTTATCCTCTTGTAGCACCATACGTGTGCCTAAGTTGTAAATAAATTGTATTGTATTGTATTGTATTGGAAAAAAAAGTAATTAAATGTACTAGGTAGGGGAGGTGTTTGGCGCCAGCAAACATGTTTTAAAAATCCCGCCTACTTCTGTATGTGCCTGTTCGAAATCAGGAGGCTGTAATTCAGTGGATGTTGTTGCTATATATATCATAATTGTTTTTCGTTTATTGTTTTGTACATAAATTAAAGTGTTAGTTTTCTTGTTTGAATTGATTTACATTTGTTATTTTTGGGGCCTTTTGTAGCTTGCTATGAGGTTTGAGTTTTGCTCATTGCTGAAGTACGTACGGTGACCTATAGTTGTTAACTTCTATGACATTGGTCTCTGGGGGAGAGTTGTCTTATTGGCTATCATACCTCATCTTTCATGTCTTTTATTTTTATAATAAGAAAAAGTTGTAAATTTGCAACGAATTGTAGGAATTTAAAAAAAATATATATGTATATTTTGTTGATTAAAAAATGTATGAGTTTATCACACCAGGTAATGTATATGAAAGTAAGTTTAACTACATAAGATGGTTTCTTTTATATATCTGAGTTATCTCCCTTTTAATGTTCATGCATGATTAAATTGTTTTCCTTTCTGTTATAGACCAGTGACATTTTTATCTGACTGTGTTGGACCTGAGGTTGAGGCAGCTTGTGCTAGCCCTGCCCCAGGGACAGTGTTGTTACTGGAGAATCTCAGATTTCACGTTGAAGAAGAAGGTAAAGGAGTTGATGCTGAAGGGAACAAGGTATAAACAGTAAAATGTAATAATTTAATTTTGGATGTAACACGTCTTCTGATTGGCTGACATTGTTTTGTTTATCAGCTCATAGACATAATTTTGTCATGTGACCGTGACGTCGTCAACGTTTTTTCATGGTTTACTCCGGTTTAAAATGGAATTTAAAATTAAATTATAAGAAATGACTGTAATATTTTTTTCTGTCTATTCGAAATAACATAAAAAATGTGGTGCACACTTTAAAATAACCTGCTACGCGGGTTATTCATGGGCACCACATTTTTTATGTTATTTCTTCATAGACAGAAAAAATATTACAGTCATTCCTTAAATGGATAAAGTTTTGTGTGCTATTAAAAAGTGAGGAAAAAATGAAAAGTTAGCCAAACCCGAATACTAATATATATATATAATTTATTATTAGCCTTAAACTCTTCCAACCCCCATACATTTAATTTTAAATAGGGCCCCATGATTTGTATCAAATCATATAAAAATATGGAGATGTGGTAATTTGATTGCTACTTCCATGAAACAAAATGGATTAAGACATGAATTACAGATCGTCATACAGTCTGAAACAATGTGAAAAATTTATTAACTCTTTACAGATATAAAAGACCCTGGTTTGAAAAAAATGTCAGGATGGGATCTGTGTTTTTTTTTTTTTTAAGTCAAATCAGTTGTAAAATGCTGCATTATTATTTTTTTTCTATTCATTTAAGTTGATATAAAAGACATGTAGATAAACTCCATACAACAAAGGCTAAAATGTTTTTGATGCGTCTGTTTTGTCTGTCAGTCTGTCATTAGTTTGTTTCTAAGAGACTTCAGGGGTAATATTATAAAAGATATTTTTGTTTACCTGTAATATTTGAATATCTTTTCAAGTTGTGAATTATCTCCCCTTCAGATGTATCCCCCAAAATTTACTCATCCAAGAAATGTTTTTACAACAAATTAATTCTTGAGTTTTGGGAAGTTAAAACATGCATCTTACAGATTCTCTTATACATTGTGACTGTCAGCTTCTTCCAAAAAATAATTTAAATTTTTAATTATTCAAAAGATAATTTTCTGTAGGAAATATTACATGTACATGTAGTACCAAATTTTAGAAAGAGTTTTGCAATAGTAATATTGTGAAAATTGTTTACATACAGAATTTAAGAAGTACAATTCAGAGAGCACCTGCTACCAAGATAGATAACTCTTGTTTAACTTAACAAAACACTAACATTTGTGAAGGGGTTAGAAACAACATATCTTTTGGTTCATCTGTTTATAACTATATATACATAAACAAATGTTGGGGCTTTTTCATCATGGAATATCAAATGGTAATATCTGCATGTCTATTTATAGAGTTGCTGTTTCATTGTGTTTAACTCAGTATTTTCTATTATTTATTTATAGATAAAAGCAGACAAGGCAGCAGTAGACACATTCAGAGCCTCATTGTCAAAGTTAGGAGATGTTTATGTAAATGATGCTTTTGGTACCGCCCACAGAGCACACAGGTAGGAGGAGCGAAACAGAAAGTCTTGCAAGGATTAACTCTATGAAGCTTGTCAAATTTGTTACTTCTTTATTTTTTAACAGAAGTTTTTCATTGGCTTGAATGGTTTCTATAAAAATTTATTCATATGAAGTAAAGGAGATGATGAATATGAATGCAAATTCAGAAATTATTGTGAAGTTTTTATTAATACAAATAATGTGTCGGGGTGAATATCCCAATACTAAGAATCCACATTCTGATTTCTGATGGGTTTCTGTATGCAGCTTTTCATGAATCGCAATAATCAATCTCACATTTTTGTCCATTCTTCAAAAATCACAATAATTTCTGAATTTACAGTACATCAATGAGACAGCTACCAAACAACAGTAACAACCAGACATCTGCATTTGTAGACAGTAACATACAGTCTTCAACAATGGACTGGTGGGTCTAAATTGTCCAGAGTCTAATAAAGTTGAGAATAAACTAAACAGAAACCATCAACATCAAATATTTCCACACAAAAAAAATTTAAATAGATATAAAAGATGTGACATTAACCTGATAAGGTTCCTGACTTTGGACAGGCACATGGATATGTTGGGATGTTTAACTAATTTCTGAAATCACAATTTATTCTCTATCAGTGGACTTACAAAATTTACATAAAAGAACCTACAATCAAAAAATTTGTAAATATAAGTAATGAACTTTAATATAATGGTAATCAAAAACAACTTTGGATCTTGCAGATAAGAAAAAAATGGAACCCAGGAGATGAATTGTAATTGTATAGTTTAGATGTGTTAAAGAATAGATTTTATTTATTCCATTACAGTTCAATGGTTGGATGCCAGTTATCACAGAGAGCATCAGGGTTCTTGTTGAAGAAAGAGTTGACCTACTTTGCCAAAGCATTAGTCAGTCCTGAGAGACCATTCCTAGCTATTCTTGGAGGGTAAGTTTGCAGAAACTATTACTAGCTCCTTGGAGGTAAGTCCAGAGAGACTATTCCTAGCTATTTTAGGCGTACAGGACAATAGAAACCATTCCTAATTATTGTTGTAGGGTAAATCTAGAGAGTGCATTTCTGGCAATCCTTAGCGTGGCATCCTTGCCTAATTTTTTTGCCCATAGAAGGGTCTGCATAGAAAAATAACATGATAGTGTCAGCGCTGAACAGGACTGAATTACAGTGCATGTGTGAATAAAATTAACAATAAATACACTCTTTCTGTGACAATGCACATCCGTTGAGTCAAAGTGTAGCTGAGGATTCTAGCTTTCAAAATACCTTCTTGAAGGGGGAAAAAACTCCTGAATTTTCAAAAATAGAATTCTTTAAACTACTATGGCTATAAATATACATCTTGTTTGTTTCAGAGCCAAGGTAGCAGATAAGATCCAGTTGATAGAAAATATGTTAGATAAAGTGAACGAAATGATCATCGGTGGAGGAATGGCATTCACCTTTCTTAAAGTTCTAAATAATATGGAGGTATGATATAGTACAAATATCAACACGTTTTTACTGTTTAGATATATAGAAATAAACTCATAGTAGGTACCAGGCTTAAATTGGTTTTACAACAGATGGGTGTTTCATCTTCAAAAGACTCATCAGTGACGCTCGAATCAACAAAGTTAAAAAGGCCAACGAAAGTACAAAGTTAGAATGATGGTTGAAGGAGGCATGACATTTACTTTTTTCATAATTCTGTTTTAAATGTATGTGCAGATTTGTATGGACTTAATTTAGATGGAAAGATCAAATAAGGGACAAATCTGAAGCATGAAAAGTGAACGTAAACAGTTGAAAAGGCATGTATTACAGGCAAAATTATTGGAATAGGCCACTATGGAATTGTATAATTGACCTTATTTTAGATTGGTTCCTCCCTGTATGATGAAGACGGTGCTAAGATTGTACAGAAACTGGTAGATAAAGCCAAGGCTAACAATGTCACCATTACCTTACCAGTAGATGTTGTAACAGGGGACAAGTTTGCTGAAAATGCTGCTGTAGGACAAGCCACAGTAGAATCTGGTATCCCTGCTGGAAGTATGGTAAGGGTCTAGTTAAGGGCATATGATACAGAAAAGATACCTTGTTGACTTTTTCCTTAGAATTTGGATTCAAAGTCAATTTTGATATGCACTTTCGAAATATGCAAAGAAAAATATACCTTCATGACTTACTTTTTGAGATATTTCAGATTGAAATTTACATGTTTCATGTAAAAAACACAAAATGTCATTGTTAATACTTTTATGAAAAAATAACAGAAACAGATATTTTTCCCGGAGTTTTACAAAGTGTTCCTTAATTTATAGGCCTTTAAGAAAGTCCATAAGATAAAGTCTGAATGTAACGGGGAGGATTGCTGTTATTGCCTATCGCAATCAACAGTATATCCTAGAGCACCGTCCCTTGGTGTCTCCTGCAGATGAACAAATTTCCATCTTTATAGATAATAAGTTAAGGTTGATCAAACTTTATTATTAATACTTTTTTTTTTTTTTTTACACTGCTGGACATAAGGAAGGAAGGAAAAAAAAAATATACTCAAGAGTACTTTTAATGTATTTTTGTTATTAATACTATTTTCATTGTCTATTATAATATCTGTCACGTTATATACTGTACAATGTCTCATGTTTGTTGCTTCTACTATCATAATTGTTAATTGTAAATGCCCCCTGTGGGACCATGATTGGAATAATAAATATTTGATTTGATTTGATTTGTAATACAAAATTTCTCAAATCATCCAATTATTGAAAATAAAAAGCAGTAGATGCTTTTCTTGCCAATAGAAATGTACCGGTATATTAAAGAAATTACTTTTGATTTTTTCTTACAATTTCAATATAACATTCCTGAAGTTGTACATAATCGATTGTAACAGATAAATTGGGGCTGCAAATTTTTTAGCTAGAAATAGAAAACCTATTTTTGTATATTTGCTGGAGATCAAATTTCCCTTTTTTGGTGCTTAATAACGTTACAGGGTATTCTTAATGCAACATCACTGTGCAGCTATTCCTGTCGTACACGAAACTGCTATACAGATAACTGTCATATACAACTTTGTTGATGATAGTAAAGTATTTAGTCTTCATTTGCCTCGAATTTTTATGCCCCCACAGTAGATTTCATGTACTTAAATATACAATATGTTAGTTTTCCTGTGCAAATAATTTTAAATTCAAATGACCAATTGTGAGTGATTTTTCCATGATTTTTGGGTGATTATTATTAGCCACAAAAAAAAAAAAAAACATCTTAAATTTGGATGCATTATTATCTCCCCTTGCTACTGTATCCTATGTCCTTAAGGGTCCTGAAGAACAGGCTACAGTTGAATCTGGTACCTGTGCTAGATGTGTGTTTAGTGTTTAGTTAAAGGTCAACTAGGACTTAAACAGTATAATCTGGTAATATAATAGAGATAGGATTCTGAACACACTTTTTTAGAGCAGACAGCATGCCGCTGGTACCTGTGCTAGATGTGTGTTTAGAGTTTAGTTAGGTCAACTAGGACTTCAACAGTATAATCTGGTAATATAATAGAGATATGATTCCGAACACACTTGTTTAGAGCAGACAGCATGCTGCTGGTACCCTTGCTAGATGTGTGTTTAGTGTTTAGTTAAAGGTCAACTAGGACTTCAACAGTATAATCTGGTAATATAATAGAGATATGATTACAAACACACTTTTTTAGAGCAGACAGCATGTCGCTGGTACCTGTGCTAGATGTGTGTTTAGAGTTTAGTTAGAGGTCAACTAGGACTTCAACAGTATAATCTGGTAATATAATAGAGATATGATTCTGAACACACTTTTTTAGAGCAGACAGCATGCCGCTGGTACCCGTGCTAGATGTGTGTTTAGAGTTTAGTTAGAGGTCAACTAGGACTTCAACAGTATAATCTGGTTAATATAATAGAGATATGATTCTGAACACTCTTGTTTAGAGCAGACAGCATGCCGTTTGAAAAACTTTCATTTCTTTACAATTATACATTAATACAATAGATTGAGATAAATTTGCAATTCTGCAAACACTGTTAGCAATCGGAGGAGGAAAAGGGGGGGGGGGGGGGAATTATGATAACTATGATACTGTAATGACCATCACTCTTGAAATAAAAAAAAAAGTCAGAATGCACAGAATTAATATGGCCATAAGAAAGCTGACAAGATTCTAAATCACAGGATTATTGTGAAAGCTGATAAGATTTTATATCAATAAAAAAAAACTGTGAAGATTTGTTTTGTCTTTGTTTTAGGGTCTTGATGTTGGAGAGAAATCTATAGCAATGTTTGCTGAAGTGATAGGTAGAGCAAAAACTATTGTATGGAATGGGTATGTATTATTTTAATATAGCCTTTTCTGAATTTTATTTTTGGAAGCAAGATTCTAACTTTAAAGTTATTGCTTTCTTGCCAGTGAGTTGTTATTGATCTTGGCAATGATGTGTTCATGATAAGTGGTTTATAATCATATAAATTGATGTATGTGGTATTTACTTTGTATGAAATTCAGAAAAGGTTTGCTTTTTTCCAACATACCTGAAATTAAACTTTTTTAAAGAGCTGGAAAAGTGTCTAAAAATAAACTGCTGGTATTAATATTCTATTATTAAAGTTAACAGCTGTTCCAATCAAGCATGCATAAGTACCCAGGAAAGGTGTTTTGAAGATTGGGTGCTCACCTTTAGGGGTAAATTTAGAATTTCTCTAACATTTTAACTGTACAAAAAAGTATTTGACAGCCACTCATAGTTAAGGTTTTGATGTGCCTTTACTAGGTCCTATGTAAACAAAACACTTGAAAACTAGATTCTAGTCATTGTTCTAAGATTGCTATACAAGTTACCAAAATTCTGATATGTTTTGTTTTTGTTACAGACCACCAGGTGTTTTTGAGTTTGCCAACTTTAGTAAAGGAACCAAATCTATGATGGATGCTGTTGTCAAGGCAACACAAGGGGGAGCCACAAGTATCATTGGTAAGGTCTTCTAGGAAAGTCTAGCATGAGTCTGTGGTCATTGTGATAGATATTCAAATATAGGTAAATCTGCACATATGATGAAAGCCATAAAGTACATTTATGTGCAGAAGGTGCATATTATATAGATAAATATTGATTTTTTTCTTAATGCAACATCATAGTGCAGCTATTCTTGTCGATCACCAACTGTCATATACGACTTTGTTGATGATAGGAAAGTATTTAGTCTTTATTTGCCTCGAATTTTTATTCCCCCCACAGTAGATTCTATGTTCTTAAATATACAATATGTTAGTTTTCCTTGTACTTTTAAATTCACGTAGCCAATTTGATGAAGTGAGTGATTTTTCTTTAAATTTTGGATGATTATCATTAGCCACGAGGGGCCTTGGTGGCTGAGTGGTCTAAGTAGTCAAACTACTGTATCACTAGCCAGTCAACACTGAGATTGTGAGTAGCAATCCCGTATGGGGCAGGTGCACTCGACTTCAACCTTAATTGACTAGGATTGTCAGTTTTCCTACCAAAGGTTGGTGGTTCTCTTTGTGCACTCTGGCTTCCTCCACCAATAAAAACTGTCGGCCACAAAATAGCACAATAGTGTTGAAAGTGGCGTTAAACACCAATCAATCAATCAATCATTAGCTGTGAAAAAAAAACATCTTAAATTTGGATGCATTATTATCTACCCTTACTATAAATAATCATTGTAGGTTGACCTAGAAAACCTTTTGACCAATGTACCATGATTATTTATTGATTTTCAATGTATTACTTCTAGAATTATCCTATACATAGAGCTGTAAGCAGATTTTCCCGAAAATGCATTAACTAATCTTGCATTTTCCTCTTTCTTTTTTTTAAATCTCAATTATAAATGCACACAATAATTTCTGAATTAAAAGTATACTTGCCTTGATGATTACAAAATTCTTTACTGAACAAATATATACATATAATTTAATTTTGGATGTAACGTATCTTCTGATTGGATGAAAGTGTTTTGTAAATCAGCTCATAGACATAATTTTGTCATGTGACCGTGACGTCATCAACGTTTTTTCGTGATTTACTCCTTATAAATGGAATTTAGAATTAAATTATAAGGAATGACTGTAATATTTTTTCTGTCTATTCACTAGGCGGGTTATTCAGTGTGCACCACATTTTTTATGTTATTTCTTCATTGACAGAAAAAATATTACAGTCATTCCTTAAGTAGTACTAAAATATATAATTATATTGCTTTAGTAAATATAAAGTATGTATTCAAGAAAACTGGAATTAGAAAAGAAGTGTGACAGCATTTTTTAAAATTCTTCAACCATATTGACAAACAAATAAAATTTTTATGAAATATTGTATGAAGAACAAAAAAAATTAATATTTTGTTTGTGTATACACTTGGTCACATGCAGGTAGAAAGTCAAGTCACTTTTATATGTTTAATTTATTTTATTATTTATTTCAAGATTTTTTATAATCTAATTGAAAAAAACAAAAAACAAACATACAATTGTGATTAAAAACAATTATATTAACAAAATGACTGAATTGAAAAATCTAAAACTAAAAAACTTTGCAAAAAAACATTTTTAACTGAAATTATTACTGTCTATAAAACGGCTGTGTCAAAACAATTTGAATTACTTCCCTTTGATTAAGATCTTAAATGCAAACAGTTTGAATTATAAGGATTTTGAAGTATGAAATAATTTCAAATGGTTTGAACATGTATTTACAACAATATTTTCATTAATTCAAATGTATTCATATTTACAATATTTTGTATCATGCTTTTTGAAACTTTCAATTACCTCTTTTATACTTTAGCAATATTGAAATCAGATTTATACTGAAAATGAATGTAACTTTGTGTAAAGTTTAAAAATGCAGAAAATTTATTTCAAATATAAAAGTTCAGACCAAAATTAAGCGAGGATCTTCTAATAATGACTGTTTGGTCAGGATATTGTAAGCCATCCTTTTCACAAAATTTTTTAAAAGTTTGTACTCAAATATTTTGTTTCTTTTCCAGGTGGTGGTGACACAGCTACTTGTGCAGCTAAATACAACACAGAAGATAAAGTCAGTCATGTTAGTACTGGAGGTGGAGCTAGCTTGGAATTGTTAGAAGGTAAGAACAGACAGTTAATTGTCAGTTTTAAATTCTGAAATTTTAAAATATGAAAAAAAAAATGCTAAAAAAAGGTGAAAATATTGTATTAATTGCATTTAAAAGGGAATCAAAATCCAGTATACAATACATGAGATTGATATTTAATATGAATTTTAAGATCCTTCTTCAACTCAAAAGCACCAACCAATGTACATTCAATACAAACCCAGAAAAATTTGACCTAAAGCTTTCTCGGAAAGGAATTCTTTGCACAACCAGATTACAATACAAGGTACTCTGGAAAGGCTAGGATATCCTGTTTCACATTAGATACCCATCATATGTTTGAAGGAAAAAGAATTATAAATGTAAATTTTGAATTTGAGTGGAAAAAAATCTGTGATATTGTTATTAATATGAAGCAAAATTAAATCAAATTCTTAATTTGATCCACCATTTAAAACATACTTAAAATATATGTTGTAGTTATTAAGGTGATACCAAACACCTTGACTAAAAATAATTTGGCTCGTTTAATTTTCATAAAATTTTGACAAAATTTTTACTTTGACCCTTTGACAAAAATATAAAATTTCAAAAAACTTGAACCACACACTTTATCGGAAAAATTTCATTGGATATATAGCAGTTTGACAAACCCTTATTTTGATCATTGATAAGCTTGATATTTCCTTAACAATAGAACGCGATTAAAACGTTCAGCTGATTTTTACAGAGTTATCTCCCTGTAGTGTTATGTACCACCTTAAGGACTGAATAAGAACTTTTTATACTTTTTTGCAGGTAAAGATTTACCAGGTGTAGCAGCTTTATCAGACGCATAATAGAAGTGAACAAATCCTGTATAGAAACTTTCAAACTAATTTGTGTACTTTATAATGTGAATGTCATGATGGTAGGTCTGATTTTAATGTAAAAGTATTAAACATGATAAGTGCTAATTAAAAACTATAGTATTTATATTTATTTAACATTTACCAGTTTTTTTTGTTATTGTAAGATTTATTTTGTTATGATAAGATTGAATTTAATTCCTCATACTAGAGTTCTGATTTTTCTTTTTCCAATGTTTATTGTATTTCTTTCTAAAAATCTCTGTTTTCCCAATCTGTGGTCAGAAAAAGAAGTTCATTTGCATTTGTAAATGAAATTTCACTGGTTCATATTCAAATTTTGTCTATTATTTTATCCATATTGATAAAAACTCGTCACAGACCTTTATAGTTTTTTTAAACAGTTTATAAGCATATGGTACTGATATTAGCTCTTCACATGAACGCCACAATACAAGTTATTGGCCATACAGTCATAATGTCTCCTAGCTGTTATTGGTTCAATCAGTAAACCAATGATTTTATCCCCTCAAAATGCAATCATAATCGAACTATAATACCAGAAAATGTTTACTGAGAAGATTGTTATATATTAACCTCTTGTTATCCATTAACGTATATTAGCTGTGCTTGTTGACAAAAAGTTAATAAAACTGAAATTTCTTTGTTTTGTTGTTTAACTTTAATAATCTTTAATGAGCCAGATTATTCTTATGATTTTTATGCCCCACCTAGAGAGGTGCATTACATTTTCTGGTCTGTGTGTTTGTCATTTGGTCTGTCTGTATCAGGTTTAAGTTGTTATCCCAGGATAGCTTGTGGTTAAAATGCTTCATGTTTAGAATTTCATGACAAAATAGAAGATACAAATTAAGAAATACATGACTTGGGACAGGCACATATAGAATGTGGCATTGTTAAACTAGTTTGGTGACGCCAAACTCTCCCCTAACCTGGGACAGTGGTGTAACAGCACAACAGAAGAACAAACTATAAAAATCAGTTGAAAAGTGAATTACTCATCAGATTGGTACAAAGCAGAAAACATCTAATGAAAACACAAACCGGACAGCGTATCTATATATCCCACAACAAAATAAAAAAAAACTAAGTAAAGATCTCAGAGTACTCTGAGTCTCACAGTTACTGACAGCTAGTTTAAAGACAATAACAACTAATAAAAAAATCATGTATTTAAGACTTAAAATATCAATCAGTATATATATCCAACATCCAATGGAATTTGTGTAAAGACGTCATTACATTTAACAGTCAGAGAAAATATGACCTTGTGCAATGCCAAAATATAGTTATAGACAGATTGTAGTACCGTGAATTTGCATATATGTATAACAGTAATATTTAGTTTACTGATAACAAAATCAATATTTATACCAATAAAAACAATATTAAGAAGGGATATAGTTACGATACTGTTGTCAGGTCATTAAAGATTGCATATTTTGGCGTTAATATTGATTCACTTATAGGGTCTTTGCATCGGCACTAAACACATTTATTTAAAAACCAGTTGTTGGCATGACACGGGTTATGTTCTTCTCATATATGTTATGATGGTATGATACTAAACCCCTAACGGGAAGGATTGTGCCTGATATTCATATGATCATATTCATAATCTTTCAATCAGTTTAATTGAAGTCTGGAGCTGGCATGTCAGTTAACTGCTAGTAGTCTGTTGTTATTTATGTATTATTGTCATTTTGTTTATTTTCTTTGGTTACATCTTCTGACATCAGACTCAGACTCGGACTTCTCTTGAACTGAATTTTAATGTGCGTATTGTTATGCGTTTACTTTTCTACATTGGCTAGAGGGGGAGGGTTGAGATCTCATAAACATGTTTAACCCCGCCGCATTTTTGCGCCTGTCCCAAGTCAGGAGCTTCTAGCCTTTGTTAGTCTTGTATTATTTTTAATTTTAGTTTCTTGTGTACAATTTGGAGTTTAGTATGGCGTTCATTATCACTGAACTAGTATATATATTTGTTTAGGGGCCAGCTGAAGGACGCCTCCGGGTGCGGGAATTTCTCGCTGCATTGAAGACCTGTTGGTGGCCTTCTGCTGTTGTCTGTTCTGTGGTCGGGTTGTTGTCTCTTTGACACATTCCCCATTTCCATTCTCAATTTTAATATTCAAAGATCGAAATACAGTGTTAATTTGGTAGCCTTTTATAATAAGGTTATTTAAAGGATTGATAAGTTTACCCGGATCTTTTCTAAATTTCCAGGCTCGGTAAACGGCATTCACGTAAAAATTAGGATGTGCTATTCCGTTTAAAATAAGTTGTCTACAAGTACAGCCAAATTTGCCAACCATATCTTTGTATACATGGAAGAATTTAGTAAGGGTTTTAAGTAAGTTGTGGTAACGAAACCCCTGACTTAATAATTTGTCAGTGATACATAGATTACTCTCATTGAAATCCAAAACGTCACTACAGGCACGGGCATAGCGAACGAGTTGTGACATATAAACACCGTAAGACGGTGCCAAAGGACCAAAAAAGGAAAATTAACTATAGGGAAAGAAAAATCGTCACTTTTGTCGTAAATTTTTGTGATGAGTTTCTCTTTAGTGTGTAAAATTGAACTATCTAAATTTAGAAATTTAGTAAGTTCCTTTGAGTAAATTTCGGCAGTACATTTAAAGAATACTTGATTATTTAACGAAAAAATATCATCAAGATAACGGTAAGTGTTGTTGAATTTATCAATATAATCAAAGTTAGACGGGTCTTTACTCAGTTTGGCCATCAACATTGATAAATAACAGTACAGGGACAAGTCTGCTATTGAAGGGGCACAATAGGTGCCCATATGAATACATACAACCTGTCGATAAACTATATTTCCGAAACGAACATAAATGTTGTCGAGGAGAAAATTTACAGCTTTAATCATGTCCACACACCTCCAGTAAGTATATCGAGCATGTTTACCTTTCTCATTAGAGAAAAGGGCTTTATATGCAGCAAGCAAATTATTGTATACATATGTTCATGAAATTGGGGTTTAGTCTCCTGTAGGAAAACATTATGACTGATTTGATAATTTAAAATTTTAAATTAATATTTTAAAGGTCCAATGACAGTTACAGAATACATTTTTAGAACGGTCTTGCACGAAATTAAATCTGCTAAAGAGAAGTTAATATGCCTCTCAGCTGTGACTCAGCAAGCCATATTGAAAATTCAGTTAAGAATAGTTTTCATTTTCTTTTCTTTATGTCAGTTGTATATAATAATGTTGTGATACTGAAATAAACGTCTTTAATTATACATTTCCGTATTTTGGTCCGTTTTCCACAAATTTTTAAAAAGTTAAATCTCCATTAAGAAATTTTCTCTTGTCTGGTAACTTACATATGTTATATACTAAGTAAACGTGATTATTTAATTATAAAAAAAATTAAAGGCGTTTCAATTTTCATCAAAGCGTTTAATCAACTATACGATCAAACATAATTTGTGGTCTAGTTTTTTTTCGTTATATAACGAGACACGCCGAGCCACTAGCTTATTTTCTATGTATTTTAATTTTCGATTTAGTGCACATCTTACTGAAGAGAAATGTGGCCTGCTTTTTTTTTTTATGTAGGTCAAATATTTTAAACTTGTCTTTTATTTGAATTGCAATTAAGCACAAGGTGGTGACCTAATAATTAATGGCGATATTATTTTAAAGATTCACTAAGACAGTTGAGGACTCATTTTGAAATTAATCCTATTTAATTTATATAGCCGCTTTTGCTGTGTTTATTTTGTCCTTTCTGGTTGGTCAGCTCTTCAACGTTTGTACATTTGTATTATAGTAGTATAGTCTCAGGGCACACAAATGCAAGAAAACGTTTAGTCTCATAAATCCAGGATCGGAGATTACTTCACCCCCTCCCCTCACACACAAAATGCTCCCCGCACTCATTATTAGTATGTAGTATTTAATGATGCAAACCATATAAGTCGCACGCTGAAATATCATCAGATGGCGCACGCACCTGATGCAAGAATAAAGGAAGAACGGACTTCCAAGTTAAAAAAATGATTTTGGAATTTGAAAAATAAATAAACGTTTTCTTGCATTTGTTGTTTACTGAGACCATGCTACTATAGTATATAGTAGTCCCAATTACTTCTTGGTATTATTATTGTTTTTTTTTTATATCAATCAGATTTTAATCCTTTTTTTTTTTAGTTCAATATTTTGACATTTTTCTCTATTTTTTCGGTCGAGTATTATAAAAAAAAGATCCTGGAGTAAATAATCTGATATATTTTCTTCCTTTTTCTGTCAAACTTCCTTACATGTGCCAACTTGTGCTGCAATGGGGAATTGCTTTGTTTAAATTTGAGATATAATTTTTGTTTCGTTTGCAAGTATCTTTTGTTTATCTTGTCCGGTAAATACATCCAACTATCACTCAGATAAATAATAAGATGAGGTATGATTGCAAATCAGACAACTCTCCACAAGAGACCAAATGACACAGAAATTAACAACTATAGGTCACCGTACGGCCTTCAACAATGAGCAACGCCCATACCGTATAGTCAGCTATAAAAGGCCCGGAGATAACAAATGTAAAACAATTCAAACGAGAAAACTAACGGCCTTATTTTACAAAATAATGAACGAAAAAACTAATATGTTACACAGCAACAAACGACAACCACAGGCTCCTGACTTGGGACAGGCACATACAGAATGTGGCGGGGTTTAACTCGTTTGAAGGCGCCAAACCTCCCCTAACCTGGAACAGTGGTGTAACAGTATAACATAAGAACAAACTATAAAAAAATCAGTTGAAAAAGGATTAACTCATCAGATGGATACAAATAGAAATACATCTAACAAAAACAGAGAGTGGACATGGACGGGTATATAGATATGTGCAAACGATCTCCATACATAAGTAGTTTTTATATGATGAAATTTCAAATTTTCACACACTGTTTGCTTTCTATTAAACTTTTTTATTATCGCAAACTTTGGTCCAATATTACGAGAAGTACCGTTTTATTAGGTAATAAACTTTAACGATTTTATCAATGAATAATTGTCAAGTTTCGATCACATATTACACATTATGTATGAGATTGATTTCATAACATCTTTTTATAACAGGTCTTTATTGTTTGTTTGTTTTCGTGTATGCCATCAACCATTGGGGTATAATAGTGCATTATTCAATAAATTAAATTAAATATATCACTTCGGTATTTCTGCTGTCTGGGATCGATTTTCCGTGTTCTAGTCGTAAAGATTTTTTACCGTTTGAATAATTACATAAAAAAAATACACTCATGGATGACCTTTTTTTTACATTTAACCAAGCCGGATATGATTATTTTTTGAAGATCACCAAGTTAATATAATAATTCATCTTTTGTTAAGTTGAATTAAGATATGCTGTCAACATTCACATATGTGTTACCGAAACGGGATCTTTTGTGGAGATTATGTTAACGTCATAAACTGTATACCAGGGGTATATCCAGCGCTCGAGGAAAGGGAATAATAATAGTGAGCGAAGTTTTTTTTTGCCGATTGATGCTACAAAAACTATACTTTTTCAAACCAAAAAGGGTGGTGCGCCATCTACGTCACCCCCTCTCTTAATCCGCCACTGTATAACGTAAAGACA